CAAGAACGAGAAGGCCATGAGGTTCCCAATGAACAGCACAAACACGACAATGCAACACTGTTTAACAACCACTGATGGCAGTAGCTATAGCAGTGGCAGCAGTACATTTATTCGGACAAGTAGTGGTGGTGGCCATGGGGGTGGCACCGGCAATATTGACAGCAACCGAAACAGGGATTATAGTAGCATTGATGGGCATACGGCTGCAACAAGACGACCACACAGAAGAACGGTGATTGCAAGCACACGCGACGCGAACAGCACTCTTAGCAGGCCGCCCAGTAGGGGTTTCGATAAAAGTATGCAGTCCAGTGATATGAGCGAGAAGAGGTGCAAGAAAAAGGCTTGGTAATATGAGTCAAAGCACAGCAGGTGTTATTGGTAATGATATTTTCTTATGATTTCGGTGCTGACCCAGGTCGCGGCGCATTGTATCCTGTGCCGGAGACTCTGTGCCACTGCTCTAAATCAGCATGCCTCACCCTAATTGAGCAGCAAATATCTGCTTGGAATGTGGTTATTTATAAGGGGTCTTTAGTAGAGTGGCAAAGTGTTGATAGACGAGCCTCAACATTTTTTCGTGTGGCTGATGTTGCTTTCCTGTAGAGCTCCCGAGCCCCCCTTCTGATTCTTGAAGTCCCTGCCTGATTGTCGCATCGTACCTTCTGCGTTCAGCCTCTGATTATGCTGACCTTTGCACAATGTTACTCATTCCCGTTCACAAGCTCAGTCCAGCGCAGTACATACCTAAGACCGTGATTTTGATTCTATTGCTGCGTTTGCAGGGCCATGGTTGTGCGTTCGCGTGAACTGCAAGTCCTACGTGGAGCAGACCGGCTTAGCCCTAAACGTCTCGACAACTGCACCTCACACAGGACAGGCGTCTATGAGTTTTCTGACCCATCGAATGGCAAAGGCAATTATGAGTTAGTCATATGAGCAGTGCATGCAATTACGTAGCGACATCGGGTAGAGAAGCTACTCTCGATCCTAAGCAAGCTTACAAATCCTGCACGGGTGGCTCGGAGGTGACACCAAATTCCGAGAGCTTGCGCACATAAGGTCTTTGAGAAGACGGCCGGCCTTCTTCGGAGGAAGAAAGAGGAGAGGATGGGATTCGAGTACTACTGGTCGGCAGACTGCCTTTTCCGTTCTGTGACCACTGAAATAGCATGCGTGGTCCAGATCACTAGGCTGCTAATCTCATTTCGTAACATACATCCTACACACCCTTGAACCCCAAGCAGCAATGGCTGCCTGGTCTCCAGGAGGATCGACTGGTGGGCTGCTTGAACATGCAGTGGCCCGGGTTTCATGTCAAGCATGCGACGCTTAGGCACCCCCGTGTCGAGTGACTCGACATGTCATACGCAAGCAGACATCTTAGTACCAAACGAAGCGGCAAGCGCATGAATGAATGTGGCATGCATGCATGTATCTACGTATATGTATACACTCCACGATTAGCTTCCTATGTATTCGGCGGGTTGATTGGCAGCAACCATGTCTAGAAGGGGCTCTCCTTGTCGTGGCTTGCAAAGCTGTACAAGGTATTGACAGCGATGTGGACAGCCGTGGCGCAGAGGCATCCCGTCTTGTGAGTCTGAACAGCGAGACTTGTCTAGGCCGCAGGCTTAGCGGTTTTCTATCTGGGCCGAGCGCACGAAGGCTGCAGCCAGCTAGCATCAGGCACGCAAGAAGCAGGCCATGCGAGTCATTGCTCTACTTCTGCTCATCTGCTCATCTGCTCCTCTGCTCCAGAAGCACCGACACCAGAATTTGCAAAGAGAAGCCCAAGAGGCCGAACGTCGAAGGCCGCTGCGGAAGCTCGAGGAGGCAAGTAAGTACTGGGCTGTGGGACCTTCAGCAGTCTGTCTGGGGTTTAACTACTGTGAGTATGGGCTTATGCTATGCCGAGCCTTTTCCATGTCCGAGGGCAAGAGTGTAAGGCTGTAGGCGCCTGAGGTGGTGTTCGGGCAGCTCCAATCCCATCACAAGCTCTGCTAAACCATGCACCGCGCATGTTTCAAAGTCGCGAAACACCCTGGCCCTACCCGCCGAGAGCAGAGTTCGACTCTGTAAGAGCCCTCCAGCCGCACGCTAAGAAACAACTTGGCACATTGGAGAGAGGTACTGCCGGTAATACCCCTATTGCCGAGGCAAAGTCAACGTTGACATTGAGGAGTTTCAGAAAAGAGGAGTCGGAGACTCTTGATCGGACGGTTAATTCAGATAAACGTCAATTCAGGTTCAAAGACCATTAGGTAGAGCTCTTTTGACAAGGAAACCGCAACTTTCAACAGTTCCCGTGCCCTGTCTTTCTCCCATCTCGTCACTCGACGAATCCACTGCGCATCAAGACCCTCATCTAACTTCCCTTGCAAAGGAAAGGCAAAAGGCCGGATCGCCGCGCGAGCGCGCGAGGCACATCAGGGGCTTAGGAGCGGGGATCAGGGCTTAGGGTTTTATAGGATTTAGGGTTTAGGGTTTGGGAGCACGGGAGGTGCCCGCCAGCAGAGTGCTGAACGACTCTCGGCCTCGGGCCAGTCCCCCACCGCGAACATGTGCAACACTAACCGCCGCGATTCCAAGCTGCAAGCGAATCACCTGTAGCCCCATAAGACCTGCATATGCCTAGACTGCTCTTTCGTCCCAGTCAAGACATGTCAGTATGTTGCAGTCCTTAGCCAAGTCCAAGACCCAACGAGACGGCCTCAAAAAGGGGAGACGCAGATGCAGGACAGCAGCCTCGGCTGTTCGCCCTAGTATGAATTCCTTAGCCTCTGCTCCTTTAAAGTTGTGCTAGAAAACCTCGTCCAGCCTATGATTTTGCTCAACGAATTTGGAAAACCTGTCGAGCCCTGAGAGACCAAGCCAGGAAGTCGGGATCCCGCTCTCGGGAGATTGTGCGCCACGAGCCGCTCAGCGAGTCTCCCGAGCAGGCATCAAACTCGACATCAACCGTATTAATTAGCATATTGTGTATACACGTGTAATCAGGCAGAGAGTTAGTATCATCATCATTCCCATCATCATTACTATGCTACTGTTATTGTTATTGCTGTTATGGCGGTTAGCATACTTTTTTGTTGAGTGGTGCACTTTGCTACTTTTTGGCTTCTGGGTTCGTATTACAACAGGTGAACCTAAAAGCATATGCCTTTTTCTTAGTCGGTTACTGAACAGCCTAGTATATTACTACTTGAGACTTGAGACTTATGATTATGATGATTCTTACTGTCATTATTTTTCTTCTTCTTATTATGAGTCGTGTGATTCTTCTTGTTATATATATGTATATGTATATGTATATGTATATATATATATATATATATATGTAATTACACGCATATACATGGCACGTGATCTGGACCTGTTCAACCCCCATTCTTGAACGTCCAACATGGTTGTGTCGGCTAGCATAATTGTGCATGCGACGACGGCTCCATGACACTGAATCTTTGTCATTTCCTGTTCTATCAAACAACGGCAGTGGCAGCAATAACAGTTAGGCCAGACCACCGTTGCAGGCTGCCGCACTGCGCTGCTTGTACGAACTGCACGACAGCTTCCCGGAGGAGCGTCTTGACAGCATTGTAGGAATGGTCGCCGTGTAGCAATCAGATTAAGTATGACAAGACACTCGATATCCATCGTCACCGACGTCACAGGCTTTGTCGTCGTCAACTCCATTGCAATCATGATCATGAATCATGGGTATTGTCATCATCATCGCTGCGTGCGCTCGCAGGCCGCAAGCATCAGACGTGGGTTGCGAGGGCGATAGGCTCGATGACGCCATTTCCGAATGCACTGTGAACTGGCATCTCGACAGTTGAAGTCGTCTGTGGCCCCCTATATATCTCCCGAAGGAACTCTCGGACACGCGGCGGCTTCGGGGCCTTCTCGGCAACGCCCCGGTCGCGGCCCTCACGGCACCGGCCGTGGAGGCTTTGAGCCCAGGCTTGGCTTAAAGATCTTAGACGTTATTTGGGGTCTGCGGTTTGGGGTTATGATGAGATGGGGGCTAGCGCCACACTGTGGCGCTTGTAAAATCGGGTTCTGGAGCCCTTAGGGTTTGTAGGCTTGGGCGTTGAGGACCCGTGTGGACAAGCTACATAAACAGGGATTTAACCACCAGGGACTGAATTCCGATGCATGCATATGTCTGTGTGTGTGTGTGTGTCTGCTAACACGATGCTGCTGTCTGTAGGGAACGTAAAGGACTGATGCTAGGGATGTTATCGGTGCCTGCATTTTTTAATTTTCCGTCCGCCTGAGAGGTGGGTGTATCCTCCTCCTTCTCGCGGCTTGTGGCCCCATGGCCACAGTGGGTAGTGGTTTGGAGAACTGCGCTTCAGACAGTGGCATTATAGTGGAATCGATTGCATGTGCTGTTTCATGATGATCACGATGCCGCTGAATGATGACTCAGATCACGGGCCGGAGTTTCCTTGCAGATAGTCGCACGATGAAGTGCCCACCCGTGCCACTGCAAGGTCTCATCGCAAGATTCTGGCACTCCGAGCCGGACAAACGCATGCCGCCACATTCTGCCGGTTGTGAGCGCCAGGCGCTCCAGGGGGCGCTGGCTTTGCAAAGCTTTGCTGTCCCTCTGCTGGCGACTGTCAGGGCATGCGTTTGGTAGCGCAAGGTAGCGCAACGTAGCGCATGCGTTTGTTGTTTGTTGCTGTGCGTTGCCTTCGCTTCCGCTGCACCCGTGGTTGGAGTTCATGCGAACGGCGCTCCTTACGGAGGCAAGACCGTGAGAACCCGTAGGGCCGTGGGGCCGTAGGAGCCAAAGGCAAAGAGCTTGAAAGCCTGATGATGGGCAGCTTGTATACCTGTTCTGGGATCATGGGAGCGGATTAGTCAACAGTTCGAGAGCAGGTTGCGGAGCCTTCAACCATCCACGAAACCACCAGATGACAGAGTGAGTCAGAGAGGGTTTCGAGGCTTCAAAGCTTTTGCCTTCGGCAGAGTTTTTATCGAGTGACGCCATGGCTGCTGTGAAAGTGCTTGCGCTGTTGAGCGCAGTCTGCATCCTCACAGCCGTGGCTGAGGAAGTTGCGAAGCTGGCACTTGGGCATTCGCTTTCCTGCGCTCTGGGGTCACAAGGCTCCATTAAGTGCTGGGGGGACAACGGCAATGGTCAGCTGGGACAAGGGGACGACGTCAGAAGAGGCGATGGCGCGAACGAGATGGGCAAGTTTTTGCCGACCATTGATCTGGGGACAGGACGACATGCGCTCGAAGTGAACTCGGGGGCCTTCCATAATTGTGCCAGGCTGGACGATGGCCTCGTGAAATGCTGGGGGAGGGGCACGAAGGGCCAGCTGGGCATTGGAGACACCGAGCACAGAGGAGATAACAGTGACGAAATGGGGCAGTTCCTCCCCACCGTGGAGCTCGGAACAGGGCGCACAGCTGTGCGGCTAGGCTTGGGATACGAGTTTGGCTGTGCGGTCTTGGACGACGGCTCGCTGAAATGCTGGGGGGAAGGTGTACATGGTCAGCTGGGCCTTGGAACCAGCGCGAACATGGGGGACGGGAGCAGTGAGATGGGAGACCACCTCCCAGCAGTCGACCTGGGTACCGGTAGGACGGCAGCTGAAGTGACCGCCGGCTTCTACTTTACCTGCGCACGCCTCGACGATAGCTCCGTAAAGTGCTGGGGCAGCAATGGGTTTGGACAGATCGGTGATGGGAGCTCTGGGACTTATGTTGGGGATGCCAGCGGCGAGATGGGAGACAATCTTCCAACTGTGGACCTTGGAACAGGCCGCACCGCCGTCGAGCTGAGCGCCGGAGGGTATCACGTTTGTGCGAGACTCGACAATGGCTCCGTGAAGTGCTGGGGGAGGAATCACAAATACCAGTTGGGGCTGGGCTTAGATACCTCGACTCGCATCGGAGACGAATCGAACGAGATGGGCGATTATTTGCCCCCAGTCGACCTCGGCACGGGCAGGACAGCGGCAGAAGTGTCATCAGGATATTTTCATACCTGCGCCCGCTTGGATGATGGCGCCATCAGGTGCTGGGGCCCGAACGACTATGGCGAAATCGGCCACACAGCCACACTCCCCAGCAACGTAGATCTCGGAACCGGCAGAACTGCGGTCCATGTGGCCGCAAATGGCTATTCCACGTGTGCTCTCCTGGACAACCTGGAAACAAAATGCTGGGGACAAAACGATGATGGGACGTTGGGTCTTGGTGACACCCAAGACAGGGGAAAATCGAGCAGCGACATGGGAAACAGCCTCCCAGCTGTTGACATAGTCTTCCCCACCACCACGACCACAACCAGCACTACAAGCTCTCTGACGATGACCAGCAGCAGCAGCAGTAGCAGCTCCGCCACTATCACCCTTAGCACCACCAGAACCAGTAGCAGCACCAGCAGCACCAGCTCAAGCAGCACATCCACGCGCACCGTGACAACCACCACGAGCACCTCAACCACGAGCGCCAGCACATCCAGCAGCACGGGCACAAGCCGAACAACGAGCAGCAGCTCCGCTTCCAGAACCAGCAGTTCGACAACCACCTTGACGAGCACCTCAACCACGAGCGCCAGCACATCCAGCAGCACGGGCACAAGCCGAACAACGACCAGCAGTTCCGCCTCCAGAACCAGCAGTTCGACAACCACCCTGACGAGCACCTCAACCACAAGCGTCTCATCAACCGGAACGACGAGTGCCTTGGCCGTTTCGGATGTTGAAGCGAGAGTGTGCTGCTACTGCATGCTGCTATTGCTGATGATAATGCATGTGGACTGACAACGTCATGCGTTTTGGGAAGTCAATGCATGTTGTACTCTTGGCACGCGAAGCCGTAGAAGCACGGGCCTGAGCTTAGTTCCAGGGGAAGAGAGCCGGAGCGTGCTGAGCGGCTATACTCTCCAAGGTTCTGCCACCAGCTCCACTGCCGCCACCGACGACGCCAGAGAGGTGATGCGCAAGCAGGACCACCCTGCTCACTCTGTTTGGGGTCTCAAGGATTCAGCCCTTCAGCCGAGGACAGTAGGCCCATTGCAGGCAAGAGAGCATAACTTAATAATAGTAGTAGAAGCTGAACACCGAATTTCCCATGCGGGGGGCGTTCCCTCAGCGTGGCTGTTAACAAGCAGCCTGACTCAAAGACCCATACCAGCTCCGTCTTCGGTCCTTCGGTGTCCGCTGTCCCGTCCGCCGAAAATAAATGTCGTCCGTTGCGAGATCTCCCCGTTGCCAGGAGGCTGAGGCTGCAGTGAAGGAGGCCGAGGCTGCCACCGAGGCCGCGTCGCAGCGTCTGGCGGGGGGGGGGGGCGGGATCCGCTTCAGTGCGAGTGGTTTTTTGGGGCGTCGATAAAACCAGAATGGGGTTTGGAGATGTCTGGGGGGTATATTATGGTATTACAGTAAGGAACCCTACGGAATAGTGTTGGCAATTGTTTGGGCTTCTAAGGTTTGGGGATGCTGCGTTTGCCAGGGCAGCTTTCCGGGGCTGGGGCACGAGATGCTGCTTTAAGAATCACGGCTGTTGAAAATGTTGCAGGACCGGGTGACCTTCTCTCTTTGCTCAAGCTGACTGAGCTTAGGCCCTACCTTCTCTTGCTCGAGCTTACTGAGCTTAGGCTTCAACAGTTGGACTGAGGCAAAACTGTAGACAATCAAGGCTGATCAGAACTCCGCTGTGCGGCTGAGGTTGCAGTGCAGGACTTGCTGAACAGCTTGAACAACACAGGCGACAACGGCGTGATGGGCGAGGTCGTCGACACCACGGAAGCTGGAGCGGTGAAGGTGCGCCCCGTCGTTTGGGAGATCCCTTGAAGGAAGCCTGAGAAGCTTCAACCGGCGCAGTGCACACCCATATATGGCCTATATCCCTGTTCTTCAAAGGTGGTTGCGTACGATGTGGAAGCTTTGACGTCATCGGGACAGAATGCTACCGTCAGCATGGAGAACTCTTCCATCGGCGCTGAGGCGCATGCTTCACTCCTCACCCCTAGCGGCCTAGCTGGCGCCCCTTTTGCGTGCATAAGACCAAGACCTTCTGCCAGGTCCCCGGCGATGTACTGGCGCAAGCGCAGGCGCTTGTGGGCGACGGCCCGGTGCTGCTGGGTGTGGTGTCCTTGAGCGAGGACTGTCTTGGGGAAGTTGCACCCTGGGTTGTCCGGGATCTTTGGGCTTTTGCGACCAAGGGTTTGAAGTGGACCAGGGACCCCAAGCCAGAGAGCTCTTGTTGTCCGTCTGTGTGTCCGCCAACAGGATCTGGCCAAGAAGTTTAGCAATCCACCTGCTGACAGAGGGCCAGGCGAAGGACAGTCCGCCAGCATGTTCGCTGCGCGAGCTCGCATGCACCACCCTGACGCGTTGCGAGGGCCAAAGGCCCCCATTCTGCGGTCGAGCCCGGTCGTGGTCGAAGTGCGCAACAAGAACGGAGGCATTGTGGATCTAGGCGGGGCAGCGAGGGCTCAGCAGAATACCTTAGAGTCACGGGCAATGGGCCACCAACATGCTTCGCTCGAGAGCGCAACAGTGTGCCAGGGAAGCTGCAGAGCCCCATGGTGGTTCAGCTAGAGGCCTGGACGACGTGTACCTTCGAGGGTAGTCGCCTCGCCGTTGCCGCCGTTGCGGTTCCAGGTGTCGCACGACAACGACACTGTTAAGTGCGCCTATTGGAACGAGACCGAAGCGGTCTGGGAGACGGATGGCCTGGTCCGGCTGGAACTCAGGGCAGGCGTGCTCCGTTGCCAAACGCGTCGGCTGGGTATCTTCGGGGGTGTGGACGTCTTGGAGGCCCGCTGCAGTGAAGCTGCCCCCGGGCCCCAGAACAGACTTGGTGCCCGGGCAGGAACTGGAAAACGTGCTGAAGTGCAGCAGCCTCTTTGAAGTGCTCACCGCGGAGGGGATTGCAAAGTTGGCAAGGAGTGGGAGAGTCGAACTAGTCGCTCGCAAATCGGAACGCACCACAGACAACAACAATAACAACAGACTCGTAAGAGTTTCGCCCTTCCAGACCTGGATGGCTTCTGCGAACACCGACAGTGATCTACCTGTGCTTCCTGCTGCTGCTGCTGGGCTTGTAACATCCTCCCGCAAGGCCAGCTCATAATCCCAAGTCTGAGCTGCATGAATTCCGAGGATCCCTCGATACCTTTCAATTTCATGCTTCGCGAAGCCGACACAGCCCGAAGCCTTCCAGCACCTCCCTCAACAATGTGTGTGCTGAACCGAGATTCGCTTTGCTCCTCAGCTACGGGTATCACATGGATCGTCAGGTGCCAGCTGCTGCGGGGTCACGGCGTGTCACAGCGATTAGCTGATTAGCGGCTCTTCATCCTGCGTCGGTCGAGTCGGTGGTGCCGTTTTTTATGCATAGTGTGATTTTGCCAGTGCGAAAGCGGGCGTTTTGTAAGGTTGGTACAATATGTATCGATTCCCTGCTTCAGAGACATGGGAGAAGCGAGAGCAGCCAGGCCGAAAGAGCAATTCCTTCAAGGAACCGCCAAGTCACGCTGCTGCGGGAGGCCTATGGGGCCTTGTGTGTTGGGTCGACTCTTGGGGAATCACGTGGACTTGGGCAGCACGAGTTGGAATCCCTGTTCTTGTGCAAGAACCTGCGGCTTTCGGCAACACGTCCTAATGCCTTAGACCTGCAAACCGAAAGCCTGAACCCCAGCCAGGACGACGACCAGAAAGAGACCGGACTGTGTCGCTGCAACATGCTCCGGGGCTTGTGCAGCCAGGTGGCAGGACTTTCCGAAGCTTGCCCCGCAGTTCTGGCATGCTCTGCCACACTGGCACTGGCATGTGACGGCCGTTCTGCAGGACAGGTGGTGTTTCTGGCCGGGCTGCGGCGCCCAAAGCAGTTCGCCAAGAAGCGCATCCAGAGTCTCATTGACGACAGCATCAGCCAGATCATCGCGTACAGGACGTGGAGTCTTTTAGGGCAGTCCTTGAGGTCTCAAGCCAAAGAGACGTGCGCAAGGATGGGCTTGGACATGATCAGCATCAACGCCCTCATTCCCCACAGGGAACACAGCATCCAAGAGCTGCGACAGGAAGAAGAGGCCCGCTTTCGCAGAGACCTCTGGATGTCAAAGCGGTGCCCAACACCCTTGGTCTCATTCTCGTCAGGAGCAGCCAACGCCCAGGCGGGGTCTTGGCGGATGCGCTTCGACGCGACGTTTGTGCTGCTGCAGGTCTCGGGGTTGCTTCTCCTGCCAGCCTGCCTGGATGAAGCAGGTGGAGAGCAGGCGCGATGGCGCTTCAACTGCAAGTGGTTTGCTGGTGTGCAGATGTGTGCAGGGCGAGGAACCTAGCAGCTCGAGTTGGGGAGATGGCCCAGAGGGCTTCGCGGGTGCATCCGGCCACCAGCAAGAAGGCGCACTCGCAAATCGCGCAACTTCTGGACCTTCATCGCCGCTGGGCTTATACGGTAATCCTCGGCTTCGGAAGCTCTCAAGCATGAACCTCTGATCAGCTTCGCCTGGCCAGGTGCCGGGAATTCTGCCGTCAACACGGTGCTACGTGGAAACATGCGTGCCCTAACTCTGGAGTTGCTCCTTGGCCAGAAATGGGAAAGGCCTCTTGAGAGCAAGCTGCTGAGAGCCTGCGCGATGTTCTATCTGCAGTTGTGCCCTAGGCTGCCAGCTGTCCATGCCTACTCCGCGATTCTACGAATCCTGGCGGCAAGGGTTGCAGTTGATTTGACGCACGATTCTCCGACTCATGACTGTGCCTTGCCAGGATGCTTTTCCATAACCCCAGTCAGCATCCAGATCTGCGCCATCATCCTGAAGATCCTGAGTGCTTGTGCCGTGGTTCGAAATGCTGCTGCGCGTAGAAGAGCACGTCAGCTGTGTGAAGCGATTCCGCCGTTATAAGGCTTCATCAACGCGATCTTCTTGACAAGCAGCGCAAAAAGGGAGGACGTCGAAGGCACTCGGGCGAGTGTTCGGACCTCGGCGGAAGGTGTCTTCTCTGGCCTCCTACGGTATGTAGCCCTGCCGCAGGCTGCGACACCGAGATGCTGACTTTCGAACAACAGCTCGTTCGAGGTTTTTGGATTGGCCTCCTCTCAGCTGTGCTGAGCGATGTGATCATCCTCTGCCTGCTGCTGATCCAGAAGCCGTCGCTCAAGAAGATGAATCAGGAGATTGGAACCCTGTCAGCTGACCAAGGCTTGTAGTGAAGAGGGTTCCTGGGGCAGCGAGAGCGAAGCGAAGGTCAGAGGCGTGAAGAAGCTTGAATTGATGTCTCCTGGTGTGTGCAAGAGGAGAAGTGGGACCAGCAGGTGAGCAAGTGGCGGTGTAGAAGGTGCGTTTTTTGGGTGCCTTGGCACCAACATGAACAGATGGATGCTGTTCTAAACCCCCGCCTTTTGTAGGAAGAGTAGGGCATGCATTCGGTAGCTTAGTATTGGAGTTTACCAGATGTTAGACCCCAAGCGCTGACCGAGTCGAGGTGCATGTCCATTGAAAGGGTTATGTTGAAATGTGTGAAAACCCTCGTGCGCGCAAGACCGGGCAAGGGCGGGCGCAAGGGATGCCCGAATGCCACGGCGTTGATGCTGAATCTAGAACAACATGCAGATGCAAATCCGGGCTTCGGCTTGAACTGTTTGCTGACACCTTGGTGGCCCCGGCGAGTGAGTGAGGTGGCTGCAGCCTGCTACGCGGCCGTGTGCGTCTCCTATGTGCTAGTGTTCCTTGCCAGCGTCACCTACGAAGACAGCCAAGCTTGGCTCGGAGCCACCTCCACGAGCCTTCTCAAGGACTGTGGCTCTTGTGCAAGAACTGCACCCAGCAACCTTAACCCGAGCCTTCAGCAGCCCGGAGCTGACCCCTGCCCCAACAGTCCTTACATGCTGCTTCTGGGTACGTGCACCGCAGACAGCGTCCTAAGTCCTAAGTTTCTAGACTGGCATGGACAACTGCTGCTGAACGGCAAGCTACATGGGTCCCTTGCGTGCCATGCTATCTTTGGGACAAAAAGGACCCTAGTCTAGACACATCGATTCAGTCAGTCCTCGCAGTCCCTGCTGCTCGTCCCGGCAGCATCCGCCGTCATGCAAGGCAGGGCTTGATTCTTCGCGAAATCCCAAACTCAAGGGAGAATGGGTGCATGAAGTCAAGAGCAGGTCCTTTCTGAGCTTTTCCTGGAATGGGGATGGGATGTTAGTCAACCTCATTCGGGCCAGAGTTTCTTGGGAGGCCTGCTCATCACGGTGGCTCTTTGGCACGATCCGACGCTGAAAGAACGTGCTTGGGCTGCGATCTGCTCTCGGACACGAGCGCTAGGAGGATATTGTTCAGTTTTGTCAGCGGCAACTGTGGTGTTTCTTCTGGCACCTGGTTTCAGTCCTTTTGAAGATCGAGCTCTTTGGATTCAGCCATGAGCGGCCAAAGTTTGAGATCCAATGCACCGGGAGCCATTAGGACTGCTTCAGAAGAATGTTTTGGCATGTGTCCTTCAGCTGTCTGTGGTGGAGCAAGTCCAGTTGGCTCATTGGGGGGAGCACCGTTGCACCATGTATGCTTCGTACGACGATTTGCGGCCATGCTTCTCGCGAACTTTCGATGCTCATCCGATCCGTGTGAGCTCTGGAGGCATTCGTCAGAAGTGGATGAAGGATCCCCAGAAAGCCGGAGAAGACCAGGCAGCCGGCAATCCGGATAGCTTGTTTAGTACCTTGTAGTCATGAAGAGGCAGGTGCTTTCTGACAAGGCCCTTGTGAGGTTTAAGGGCCAAAAGCCTTCCCTTTCTGTGAGCGTAAGCGAACACTTCTTTTCCTGCTCCAGCCCTGTCGTTGGAGGCGTCGGTCGATTTTCAAGAAGAGCAGCAGGAGGCTGGCGCGGTACTATGGGATGCCATGGGCCAGCTTAAAGGTCTTAAAGTCTCCAAACCAAATCCCAGGCTCCAAGCACTTAAAGAGTGGGTTTCCTGAAGCGCAACACCCTTCGAGCATTCCCCTCACCAATCGGACCTCGCTGATTGGATCTCGCAAGGAAGATCGCCATGTTTCCATCCTGGTGTCGCCGACCCCTTCGTTGCCAGGCGCGGTCCAAGTGAAGGTCTTGAAAGAGATAGCTTCTGGACGAGTCGGGATGCGATGGGGGAAGGGGTGTCTATCCTTGCAGTCGCGAGGGGGCCCTTGACATGAAGAACTCGAGGGTCCTTTCATGGCCTTTCGGTCTGTTGCGGGTTCTACACTGCAGCTGACTCTGCTTTGTTCTGCCGGGTCCGCTTTCAGTTCTGTCCATGCTTGGAAAGTCGTTCCAAAGGTCGGTTTTGGCCCCCATTAAGTTGTCGAATGCTTTTCTTTTGCTATGAGATATTATTATTCTTGGGCATCACCACGTCCGATAGTTCTAATTCGCAAAGCCTTGTCAGGAGTCAGCAACTTCATGTCTAAGTGCTATCATAGTTACTGACTAGCATGCACTACTACTGATAATCGCTCAGTACCGCTGTCGATAGTCGCGGAGCTGTGTTGAGAGTATTCGCTGCAACTGGTATGCGTAGCTCCTTGTTAGAACATGCCCTTGAATATTTCGAGTCCTTGCTGCTTGTTACTCACCCGTACTGGTTGTGCATTCGTAGCTGGAAACTATGACCGTCCTGGCTCATTTCCAACCCCAGGAGTGCTTTCGAAGTTTCACTGTTGCTTGCAATATTTTCTCAGTTCCTGCTGTGTGTTGTTAGCTGACCGGTACAGAATTCCACGAATGACAACGAGCAGTGACTACTGGCTTCAAACTATTGCCTGGCATCACTCGTTGTCATCATGGCTTGTCACCTGCTAGCTATCACCTGAGTGCAATTATTACAATTAGCTGTTATTGTATTTTTTGTTGCTGCCGCTTTGCGCTTATCAGCTGAAGCCAAGCTTTCCGCCGGAGTTGTCGTTATTGGTTGTTTTGTTGAGCTCGCAGTTGTCATTATGTGCCATCATTGTTTATTGGCATTTGCCTCTAATTCTAGATGTGCGACGAAAGGCAACAGAGGAGTGGGCGGAGGGGGCACTGCGACAACAATATTTAGAGAGAGCCCAAATGACCCAATAACCAATGATGACCTCTAACACCTGGTTTTGTCATGAACTGACTAGCGATCGCTAACCAGATATGGTATAGTTGTTTTCACTCATCGTTGCTGCATTGCTAGTGTTGCTGAGTATTTGTCTTCAGCATGTCTGATGCTACGGAGCTATGGTATGGTCAAGCAACTTTAAGTGACAATAAGCGCTACCAGGTATCACTTAGTATTTCTGTGTATGGCAAAGTGCGGCCAAGTATTCCTGAGTATCAAGTTTTGCTGCACGTTCTTTTCAAGCTGACTCCTCTTTCTGAGTACAACTTCTTGGCAGGTTACTAGGTGCTAAGCAGTAGTGCTAAGTATTGTCAACATGCGAACAGTTACTGAGAGTTGCTTGACGATCTCAAGCATGACAAATTGCACATGCGAGTACTGTTGATCGCCCACCATTGCTAGACATTACTCTCTGTAAGTCTTTGTGCCTCAGTATCACAGAAATACTACCAGTTATTTCTCACCATGCCCACGTGATACCACATCTTTTAAAAAGTAGCGAAGTTGGAGTGCATAGTCCAAGGTGTTCATGTATGACCTGAAGCGTGCTCAGTATTGCTACGGTGCCGCAAATTTGCGTTTGCTGATGATACAAAGTATCATAAATGACCTGGCATAGTGCAGGCATTCCTAACTGTCCTAACTGCTACGACTGCGCACCTCGTCGCCCACACTGCCCCATTGTTTGTGCTGGCCATTGGTTGCTGGAAAGACACCATTCCAATACTCGATTCCAGAAATCTTGGGTGCCCTTTTCATGTGAATCTGGCCCTCGGAGGTGAAAAAAACCCAGCACATTCCGGAGACCAGGCGGCTGCCCAGGTGTTCGTGTCATTCAGTTTTGCCGCCTCACACCATGTATCAGCTTCCCGCCGCTGTGGGAACAAGCTAAGACGGTGTACTCTTTACGCTACATCCCAAACCCGAGGAAGCCTGAATCCCTGAAACTGAACCTCCTACGGAAGCCGGGAAGCCACGGTCAGGCTGCCCCACCTGACTCCGAGAGCACTCCACCCCAAGGCGGGTCAGCGAACGCGCGCTGTTGCAGGTCAGTTGGAGCCGTTTTGGTAGGAAAGATCACAAGCTTCTCAGCTGTGCTCTTGCTGTCATCCCAGAACGTCAGTACTTCAAAGTGCTCTCTCGTTCGATGTTCAATTCCTGTTTCGTACAAGGTGAAAGGTGCTTGGAAGTCAAACATCTTCGATCCAGTGTCTCCCTGTCTTGCCTCCCGTGAAATGGAGCTCTTAGTGGTCTGAGGCGTGCATGAAGACGAAGGCAGCACATCGAGGGTAAGACGTTCTCTTGGCTCCGCCCCCTAATCCCTGGCACAAGCCAAGGACTGCTAAGCAGGGCTACCCTCGGCTCGTCTTTCAGGGTTAGCGAAGGGCCCTCGGTCTGGACGCACTTTTGCAACGGCCGGATGTAGAGTCGAAAGGGTTTAGGGTTTAGGGCTGGGTCGCAGGTGCTGCCCCAAGCGAGGCGCCAGAGGCCTGCACGGAAGAGCTCAAGTTCGTGGGGTCACTCCTTCCACTGGTTCGGGGAGGCAGTTTCTGAGACATTGGAAAGCCACGCTGCATCAGGCTATCAGGATACTAGTAGGAATAATCATACGTCTTACCCTTGGGCACGGCACGATTGAGAGGCTTGAAACACTTCCACAGGATCCCTGTTTGTATTTTTTGTAGTCAGGCTCTTGTGAACTGACGCCCAAAGGATTGGAATTCTTGGTCAGGAAGTCGGGATGCCTTGCCGATCGCATCTCAGTGTTTCCTGAAGCCTCAGAAAGCTGCTTCCTGGAGGTGCGAGCCTTGCCGGAAATCCAGGCCAGGCCCTTGGTGCCTGCACTGGCGTGGCAGCTTAGACATCAACTAGATACTTACATCCAGACTTGCTTGCGCTGCTCCATGTGAACGCACGAGGCCATTATTGACTTTGAGTGCCTGCCTTGCCACGAGTGCTCAGCAAGCCTGGCAGGTGGAACCAGCGAAATCCCGCTTCTTCAACTTCAAGAATAGGATTGCCGATACCGAGTGAGCAGAGGCCCACCACGATCGTTGTTCTTGTCGTTGTGTGCAGCCTTGACTACTTTCTTCTCTCCTCCTGAGTCGACAGCTGGAGGTTCGTCAACATTGATGGGTCGGCCGAAAGGGCTTGGCCATGGCGAGTCGTCGGTGTAGTCCGATGCATGGAAGTCTCTCCATGCTTCACATGCTTGAGGTCCTCAACTGTGGGTCTTCAGGTCAAAGAGGTTCATTAGATTTCCGAGGGAGAATGAGGAGCCACAATGTCTTTAGTTTCCTTTCGATAGATACCCAAAGGATCGACCTCGGCACAGACAAATTTTCACCTTTCGAGAGGGCCAGCGTTGCTGACACCACATGCGGATGTTGTGTCTGTGCGATGCTGGTGCTTGACAAGGGCTTGCCCTATCAGAGACGTGCTGCCCAGACTGCCAGATGGTTTTTGCAAACTGCAGAGAGCGAGCCATCACCCTGCCCGGCAGTGCCAAAACACTCGCATTGAGTTTTCTTCACTTGATGGCCCCGAACTTTGTTATTGTGATTGCGGTCGCGGTGCCAGCACAGCCTCCTTGTCGAGTGCAGCCGATCCCCGAAAGGGCTTGGCCAGGCCAAGTAGTCGATGTAATCCGATGCATGGAAGTCTCTCCATGCTTCACATGCT